TAATAACTTCCTGGTTGGTTGGTTGGTTGGTTGGTTGGTTGGTTGGTTGGTTGATTGGTTTTTTGAGACAAGGTTTTACTGTATAACAGCCTTGGCTATCCTGGAACTAGCTGTATAGACCAGGCTGACCTCTAACTCACAGAGATCCACCTGCCTCTGCCTCCTGAGTGCTGGCATTAGACTTGTTTGGTGTGTTTCAAAGATGTTATTTTTTGTATGTGTATGTGTGTATGTATGTGTACTGTGTGCATCTAGGTACCCAAAGAGGCCAGAAGATGACATTGTGTCCTATAGAACTGGAGCCACTTATTGTGGGTGCTGGGACCTGAACCTGGGTCTGCTATAAGAGCAGCAAGTACCCTTAGCCATTGAGCCCTTTTAGTAACCTTTTGTTGCATATTATAGTGTTCAAGTCCAGCTCATTGCTAGAACCCATAAACCTCGTAAGGCTTTGCAAAATGTCTGCTCAACCATTTCTTTGGAACCCTAACTTAGTCCTCTTACTGGCATTTTTTTATTATCTGAATTTTAATTTTTTAAATTTAATACTCTTGGACTCTACCTTTCTCTAGTTCCAGATAGCATCTTTTGACTCTCTTTTCAGGTTTCTATAAAACACAGCTTGCTGTCTTCATGTTTCCTTTCTTTTCGGTGCTCTTAGCCCCACCACTACACCCCATGGCTTATTAGAGCAATTGATGGGAAGGCAATAGTTGGAGACAGTTCAGTGAACTTTGTAGTGATCCTGTGAGGACCTTCAAGGACAGAATCTGGTCATATGTTTTTGTTTATTTGGTACTGTTTTACAAAGTCCTAACGATGAAGATATAAGTGGACTATGTGAAGCAATTGTTACCCAGTGAACAAATACATGTCATGATACAGTCTGTTGTTCTGCACATCTGAAGTAATACCAGTTCCCACACAAATGAACAGTTGTGTGGCTTCGATTTTTTTAAACTGTTGATAACCAATCCAGCGTAAGTGTTCTATTCAGTGACACATACATTGTTATGAATCATTGCTCTCTTTTTTCCATTTTATCACCGATTTATTTCTTTCAGCCAGACTTAGTCTCTATAGAAAAAGAAATTTTAAGATGGTTACTTAAAATAGTGTGTTTTATATGGTTAAATGTCTGTACATGGATGTTTTACATTTTTCTATTTTTAAAATACTAGTTAACTTCATTCTAATTCAATTATTCTTAATTCACTTATTTTTCATATGTTTAAAAATATCTTGCCGGGCGGTGGTGGCGCATACCTTTAATCCCAGCACTTGGGAGGCAGAGCCAGGCGGATCTCTGTGAGTTCGAGGCCAGCCTAGGCTACCAAGTGAGCTCCAGGAAAG